AAAAACAACAATATAATAAATTTAGAATTTAACAAACTGTTTCAATGTCATTCAATCTATGGCAGAAACAACAATTGTAAAAGATACCATAACATTAAAATTTGTAACAAATCAAACATAGTAAACTTGAACACTAATAATTGGATACCTAAGTAAGTTAGTGGAGAGCAAGCGCTTTGTGGTTTTAGCAATGCAGAGATCGAGGAAATCGACGATGGACTTATACTACTTCAACGGCACTATTAGATGGCAAGATGAGGAGAAACGCGTGAGAGGCACCTACATGATTAACATCTGCAACGAAACCTTATTTATCAACAAACAAGAGTTCAGCAACTTAGAGGTCACAGTCATGACCCCAGGAAATCCCATAATACAAATAACCCCAATAGAAAACGAAAGAATTAAGATTCTTTCTCTGGAAACATTAGAAGAATCGCATATCAGCAACATAAAAAACATGCAAAACCTTGAGACGCACTCTATGGCAAATAGAGTCGGTTTCATAACTCAGTTCACAATTGCCATGCTTCTTACCTGTGTATTACACGTAGTGAAGAAAAATAAGAAAAAAATAATACTGCAACTAAACAAAGAACAAGAGAGACCCAAAAAAGAACCAGCACATTTCCAAATACAAAATACGGATGCCAACAACCTCAGGTTCAACAACATACCCCTCTTGTGATGACCGCTTGAGGACAAGTTAAATCAAAGGGGGAAGAGTTAACAACAAATAAATTCATACAGTCCCAATAAGAAGCATTGCAACACCTCATAAGAAGTGCAGAAAAATGCTGAATTATTGTCTGTGGCATTTCCTCCACGAGCCGATTGGCAATCGCTAAAAATTCCAAGAAGATTTGCCCAACGGGCCAACAACATCAGCAGCGACGCCGCTGCCTACGCCCCGGCCGCTTAGCCACAGGTTACTAGGGCTATAATTGATTCAGGTTAACTATTAGGTTTTGTTGCAAATTAAAATCAAATAGAGGAAGTCTGGCTTCCATAAAAATTATATTTTTTTCGTCGTTTAATAAACCTTGGAATTAACTTACACAAATTCTCGATGTTTTCGCTAGCTGTGCAATTGCACAGTTGCACATAACTTTGGTTTTCTCTTAACCGATCTTATTGAAATTTTCTACAATATATCTTATTGTACCATAGAATATTTGTTTATTCTCAAAAAGTCAATTTCATTAAAATTGTGGCTTAGATTGGTTTGCAACATAAGTTGGGTTATTAAGTTGATTTATAGGTGCGGTGACATAGGTATAAAATTAAAGATACTTGATATACTTATATATATATAATATTCTTGAATTAACATATTAAGTTTAGTGGCTCTAGCTCTTACTATTTACCAAAATTGCTAAAAACAGGATGTCGATTTCGATTTAATCATTTGCTTGGAAACGGAGTAAGTTATCGATTGTCGGAAACAAACTCGATCTGCGCAGGCACTAGGAGGACCTACATCTAAAATTTCAAATTTCAAGGTCTTACAAGTTCTGAGATCTTTACGTTCATATAAACCTACGGACGGACGGACGGACAGACGGACATGGCATGATCGACTCGGCTATTGATGCTGATTAAGAATATACATATATACTTTATGGGGTCGGAAATGCTACCTTCTGCCTGTTTCATACACTTGCATTTTGCACAAATACAATATACCCTCTTTAACCATTTTTAATAGGTTCAGGGTATAAAAGTGAAAGTGAACACCATGAACACCAAATGAGTCAGTTTTGCAATTAAGTGAACAACACCTTTCACAAGTACTAGGCCAAATTAGGCCAGTGCCAATGTTTCATGGATCCACCGAGGAGCTAATCGCCTTTATTAGACGCATCGACTTAATCATTCAGCTATATCCAACGAGAGATATACGCCAACACAGCGTACTGTTCGGAACCATCGAAATGCAAATAGGAGGAGACGCACAGAGGGTCACGCAGATATCCGCCGCCACCTGGACCGATTCGAGGTCGGCGCTTATCTCAGAGTTCAAAACGTAGACGCTATGCGAAGAGCGCTGAGAAAAAATTTTCAATACTCCACTCCCCGGAAGTATTCGTAAGTTTGTAGAAGAACTAAAATATAAATCATTTGTCATACCCAATAAGTTAAGACTAGAAGACAATCAGATGAATACCATGTTATATACAAATGCATTAGAGAACACAGCTAAGACGTTTTTATGAGGAAGTTGCCCGATAGATTATTCATGACATTAGCCCGTCATGATATAACAACAGTTGCAAAGTTAAAACAGGTAGCTGAAAGAAAAGGCGTCTATGATCAAGAATTGTCCGATTGAAGTAAAAACCCAATCAATCAAAACAACCCAGCTAATTTCAATAAAACTCCAAATTACAGTCAAACAACAAAACAACAAAATTATGGTAATACTACACAAAAACTAAAAATCCAATAGTATTAAATAAAAATATTTCCCTAAAACCCAGCAAACTTTGCCCACTCATCAGAAATTTTTCTTACATCATTTTTCAAAAAATTAAGACGTACGATTAGGTCGAGATTTCTCAGAGAGTACTCGAGCCCTAATAGATTATAAAGATAAAACCATAGGATTCGGAAATCGGATTGCCAGCGAATGAGTCAAAAATTGAGTATCTCATACCGCCCACATTAGATGACGAACAATTTGTGTTCGCCATCATCAACGAATTCCGCCTAGATCATCTAAACGATGAAGACAAAGGCAATTAACATAAATTTTACATGAATTAGGAGATATCCAATACCGAGATAATGAAAATTTGACCTTCACGAGCACAGTAAAACAGTTATCCAAACCAAACATGAAGTCCCGGTTTATAAAAAACCATACAAATATGCCCAAACATTCGAGAAGTCGAAAACCAGACCAAATATATGATCATACTAGGGATAATTCGCAAGTCAAAATCCCCTTACTGTTCGCCAATTTGAATCTACTCAAAAGAGGTATGCATCCGACAAAAATTAAGTCACAGTTGATGTCGAATACCCCATACCAGCAATAGACAGTATACCAGACAAACTTGAAAAATGTCAGTATTTTACTACCATTAACTTCACTAATGGCTTTCAACAAATTTAAACGGATGAAAGTTCAATACCTAAGACAGCCCTTTCAACTAAAAATGGATATTACGAACACACTCGAATGCCGTTTGGGTTGAAAAACGCACTTCAAAACTTTCCAACGCTGCGTGAACAATCTGCTTGAAGACTTAATCTACACAGATTACCTTGTCTATATGGACGACATTATTGTATACTCCACTTCATTGGAGGAACACATAACGTCATTGAGGTGGGTATTTACGTAATTAAGGTAGGTAAATCTAAAATTGCAATCAGACAAATATGAATTAATCAAAAAACAAACGGAATTCCTATAATGACAACCGAAGGTATAAGACCTAAACCTTCCAAAATAGAGGCAATTCAAAAATTCCCAATACCCAAAACAACGAAGGGAATCAAATCATTTTTAGGACTTTGCGGCTTTTACCGAAAATGCATTCCCAAATTTTGCAAATATAGCAAAAATCAATGAACATAAAGGACTACAGAATAACATAGAATTATTTGAGAAGTTAAAATTACTTATAATGTCCGATCCGATACTTGTATATCCTAATTTCGAAAAACAATTCTCACTAACCACAGATGCCAGTAATATTGCCATAGGAGCAGTATTATCACAAGAGCATAAACCGATCTGCTATGCAAGCAAAATACTTAACGAACATGAAATTAATTTAAAAAAAAGAGCTTTTAACTAATGTCTGGGCCACCAAATAATATAGGTCATATCTATTCGATAGAAAATTCGAGATCCTTAGGAATCACAAGCCTCTAGTTTGGTTAAATAGCATGAAAAAACCTAATATGAAGCTATAAAGAAGGAATGCAAGCTAAATGAGTTTGATTACCACATCAAATATGTCCCTGGACAGGAAAATTATGTAGCAGATGCTTTAACCCGAATTAACACAGAGGAAAATCTATTAGGCGCAACTCCATATAGCGTAGCCGCAACAATTCACTGTGCACAGGAAGACAATAGAAACCATATTCCTATCACAGAAAGACCTACTAATTATTATAACAGGCCAAGAAAGCCCAACTCAAACTGACACCATATTTAATGTTATTCCTCATAAACACTTTCGTCCGAAAAGTCCAAGCCCAAAGCTTCGAAATCAACCCGACCCAAGGTAAAAACGGCTACTTAATTTTTAAGACAGGAGTAATACTTACACTTACCTGTAAGCTGCGAATACCATTATCTACCCGTTAATATACTTAAAACACAACAAACTTATAACAAATCAATTAAACAAGCTGAAGTTTAGAATTACATATCGACAAATAAAATACCTTTAAAAAAAATTAGAAAATGAAATGAATGGCATAATAATAGCAAAACGCAGCAAACGCCGTCGTGCTAACTTTATGGGCACAATTTACATCTGTTCGGCACATTAGACCAACAAGATAAAGAGGAATTAGAAAGCCAAATGAATAATATAGCAGAAAATAGCGTACAAGCAAACGAACTAAATCGAGAAATAGAAGCAGTCAATACAGGCATAGAGACCATAAATTATTTAAATCAAGTAGGCGAGGAAGGCCAAAGGTTAGCACTCCTCATATTTAACCTCCAGAAATACACCGACTCCATAGAAGACATTGAGTTAGGTATGCAACTAACTAGACGTAATTTTTAATACAAAATTACTAAAACATGACACCTTACAGCATGTTAATTCAGAAAAATTATTAATTATCAAAACTTCAACTTGCTTAAAAACAGACATCAACGAAATTTTAATCATTACCCATATTCCGCGAGAGATAATCAAAACGCCAATCTTTGAAATATTACCTTATCCAGATAATGATAATTATATATTAACATAATATATATAATATATTAACATAAATAAAGTCACCAACGACAGATACTTCATACAAAACGAACAAGCCTACACGTCAAATTTAAAATAATTAATTACGAATAAATGCATAACAGGAATTTGACTCAAGCCAAAACCGAATTAAGTTATACAAAAACAAGAAACAATTTTGAAATCAATTACATCGAGCCTAATATGCTCATTACTTGGAACCTACCAGAAACACTTTTGAGACAAAATTGCATCAATAGAGAAATAATAATAGAAGGTAATAACCTTATAAAAGCGCCAAGCTGTTCAATCCAACTAGATGAAATAATAATCACAAGCACACTACTAGATTATACACAAACGATTTATGTAAGTAATAATGTAACCAAAATAGAACCATGTCATACATTCAAGCTAAAGAAATCGTAAAAGATCACACATAAATGTACAATACCTTTCAAATTGTAACAGTAAGAACACTGCATAATTATGCCAAGCGCACCACATATGAAATATGATACTCCCCAATTTGTAACAACAAGCCCTAGAAGCCCAAAATCATGAATTCTTGGTAAAAATAACAATTCTGGCGTGAGATCGATCATTAAATCAAAAACCAGTAGGCATAAACACCCACCACAATCGTTAATCCCACCAAAGGCCCAAGCGCAATATCGAGTTGAGATTATGACGACACTGTAATAATTGTAGACAGTATGAATTCGTTGCTTTTCGAAAGGCATTTTTTTTGTTACATGGATTTATATATGCATGCTTGGATTGGTTCCCTGCTGAAATCTATACTGGACGTTAAAAGGTGTAGGTATATAATTATAACAAGCAATTTTTGTTTCTTAGAATGTTTACAAACAGCATAAACAATTTCCTACTGAAACAAATCATATAACCACACTTGTCGACGTATTCATAATTTATTATTTTAAAAACTCTAGGTGTTGTACGCTAAAACGCATCATATTTGGCAATTCAAGCGACATTGTATTACCATTACTCTCTGTTATCAACTACATTGCGACTATGGAATCGCCAACACAAAATGACAAAAAGGATCAAGGGATTGATTTTTCTTAAATTAAATTTAATAGATTTTATATTTGACCAATTTGATCAACTAGTACCTAATTTTATTTTCGATTATATCAGCAGACATAAAAACTTTTCATCAATTTTCTCTCTACACTGCTCTCGCGCTTAAGCGTATTGGCCAAGTGATTGTGTCGTTTCCTTTCCTTCTGCAGGTCATCCTTTAATTTTTTTTTGTTTATGAACAGTTGATTTATTTTTAATTAATTACTGCGCACGGCCATTCAGTCATTGGGACATATTTATAGAAGGAAAATACGAATATGTAAGTGGATATAAGACTGTAATGGAGAACATCTTGTGCTTGTTGAGATTTATTTGAACAACTATATTATATCTGCCTATTTTAATAGGAACAGGGTATTCTACTTCTAATTTTAAATGTAGCCAACGCTATTATCACGACATTGCATGTACCTCGACCGAAACATTTGGCTTGTCGTGCCCAACTCTGGCGGCCCAGAGTTTGTTTAGTTCTTTCTTTTCCCAGTTTCTGAATAGATCCATTTTTATCCTTAAGAGAATCCCCAGAAAGATCCAGGGCCGATTGATGGTGTATTTGTTTTCGGCATGACCATTATGTCTGGAAACCCTCATACAGTAAGAGTATTGTTTTGCAAGAAGCAAACTGGATGAAATCGTGTCAGCTCTGAACGCCGCCTGTCTGCTAATGAATAGATATTACAATTTTAGATATACATTCTTAATCAGTTCCAGGCGGTGTAAAATTTAAGTCGTCTAATGCTATCTTGAACCCAACGTTTAGTTAAAAATATGGTTTCAGTCCACCGAATAAAGAACCATAAGTTGGAAATAATGCATTCCGCCCCTATTAGTCTTGTGGTAAGAATCTTGATGCCAAAAAAGTAACTTTTACCCCCTGTTTACCATCTAGCGCGGTTGTTAAAAAAAAGTAATCATTTTTCCGACAAATTACCACAGTAGCGGGTGGAATTTCCAAAATCGCTGAAACACGCATTCATTTAGTTCTTATATAATAGGCTTTCAAAGTAAGTTTTAAGCAGAACGGACAAAACTTCGCCAAAATAATCTCATAATCGCATATTCCACAGAGGAAGCACGATTAAAAAAAAAAAGTTTGAAACAGGTCTCAAATGTTTTTAGTAAGGAGCTGTGGAAATCTGTGTCTGTGAGAGCAAACAGTTTTATATAGAGATGAGACTTGGCCACGGCTAATGACACGTTGAACCAAGGTTCAAAGATACCAGCATCTAAATACGATTTGATGGAACGGCTCATTAAAATGAACTACTGAACTTATTCAGTGATGAGAAACTGGACGAATGAACTTATTCAGCAAATTGAACTTGAAAGCCCCACACTACTAAATACTAAGCAAGTAGTTTGCATTAGACTAAAATGAAATGTATTTGCCTGTAACTGTATAACAAAGTGGTAATCGGTTTTTTATTATGCTTTTATGCATAAAAATATTTTTTTTTTTTTATTATGGACAACATTTTATTTTATTGATAATGTTTATTGTTGGAAGGGCCAAACGTGAAGTTATTTACTGGATCTCCAAGTGCAGCTGGATCTTCAGTTGGTGGCGACGGATTTTTGAATTGGTCAGCAGATATTCTTGTAAATAATATTCCAACACCTTCAATAAGAGCCAATAAAACTCCTCCTATAATGGCACTTCCAGCCATTGCAGGAATACCTGAAAATAAAATTAATAATATTTATTTATTTTCAAATTCGTATTAAACAGCGGATAACAGATAGATACCTTTTTTACATTTTAAGTATTAAGGCTTTTATATTTTAATCGAATTTATGGTTATAAAGTACAATAACACAACCGACGCAAGCTGTAAAGCGACCGGGTTGTTACACTATTTAATAACTTCGATAATTGGAGCTTGCGCTCCAATAATAAATGTCCTATCCCACTTCTCACCCAACCGACAGAGGGGGCAACGACTTTATGCTCGGACTTGCAAACTAGTTTAGAATAGAAGAACTTATGCGAAGAGAAGAGTTCCTGTAATGCTTGTTATAAGCATCACAGATAACTCTGAATGGTTCTTACAAGGCATAATTAGATGAACAAAATTAAAGCGATACAGGTGTAAAATTACATGTTAGTCTAGTAGGTATTGATAAATTAAATTGGTAAGTCAACACAGAACAGTCAATTTCACCAGTAAATAATTTATGAATAATTATTACAACTAATATGGTTCTACTATAAATAAAAGAAAAACGGATAATCATTCAAATTCTGCTGGAGTATGACAGTTACTGCACACGAGGGTCCCAATTTAAACCACGAACGGCAAACAGTAAGAATTGTTGATGTACAGATTCAATTCTGCCTTGATGTCTTGACATGAGACATACTCAAATATGGATCGTACCAAAGTTTTGTTAAGGTCTTTGTCGTATACGGATCGTCAAATTCCTTCGGCCCATCGCTTGATGAACCCTTATTGACCACGGTGCATGAGAGTAGAATTTAAATTAATGATTAAGAATGACACCTAGATCATTTACTTCATTACAAGTACTGTTGATACGCTCGAGTGATAACCTAACAATGATGTAAGAAATCAATTGCGTGCTTCTATAGAAAGTCATTACCTTACATTTAGAGTAGTTTAAATTTAGGAGGTTGGCTATACACCCAGACTAAAAGGCATCAATGTCGGCTTGTAAAAGATAACATTATACCATATCTTTATATACAAGGCATACTTTCACATCATCAGCACACATTAAAACTCAAAAGTGATACGCAATCAAGGGACGATGAAAGAGTAGAGCGCCAATATGACTACCTTGAGGAACACCGGAAGTCGCCAGAATATGTTTAGAAGACGAAAGAACCTTTTGGGTTTTGTTAGCAAATATTTTGAGAACCAGTTAAAAGATGGACTGGGAGGACGAGAGGGCATAATTTATGTAGCAGTTAGTTGTACTTAACAGAGTTGAAAGCCTTACTGAAATCAGTATAGGTGACGTCAGTCTGTATGTTTTTCTCTTAACCCGCAATTACTAACGAAGTGATCAGTGAATAGAAGTCAAGTCTGTAAAGTTTTTTTTTCCAAAACTCAAAAATTGCACTATCGAAGTAAAGGCTCCATTTTAGGTACTCTTTGCGAGAATTCGCCATGTTTGAATTCTAACAATTAAGAGGTTCTGGTAGGAAGCTCCCGACTAGGGAATACCCTGAACCCTCTTATTCTAACAGCAAATAAGGCAGGGTTCGAACTCGCAACTGACCGCATTACTTGCTGTCGACTCTACTCAACAATCGCATCTGCCAAAAAAAAAAAGACTCTCTTTCTTTAGGGCTCGAACTCGCGACAGATCTCACCACTTGCTATGCCTCTACTCAGCAGTCACACCAATAATTAAGTACTTATGATAAGAAAAAGGAACTTAAATAGCATTACAGAAAAAATTCGCAATTACCATGCTATTAGAATGCGAAGCAGAACCGAATGAATGTGCGTGTGTACATGTATTCAGAAATTCTTAAAGCTGCTGCCCCATCCAATTGCGCAGCTGTATATAACTTTGGTTTTTTCTTAACCGATCTTTATAAAATTTACTACAGTATATCTTATTGTACTATAGAATATTTGTGTATTCTGAAAAAGTCAATTGCTTTTATTAACTTGATTTATAGCTCTGTGGTGGTAGCGGGGAGGTGGCGATAGGTATAAAATGAAAGTTACTTGACATATATATAATATTCTAGAAGCAACATATCATGTTTGGTGAGTCTAGCTCTTATTATTTACCCAATTTGCTCGAAAACCAGGTATCGCTATCGATTTTTATCGATTGCTTGGAAACGGAGAAAGTTATCGATTATCGATTATCTGCGCAGGCGCTAGCTCAGAGATTCAGAGAACCTTCCGTTTATAGATACGGACGGACGGACAGACAGACGGACAGATTGACTCGGCTACTGATGGTGATCAAGAATATATGTACTTTATGGGGTTGGAGATGCTTCCTTCTGCCTGTTACAAACATTTGCATTTTCGACAAATACAATATACTCTTTTTACCTATTTTCAGTAGGTTCAGGGTATAAAAAATGTGGGGTTATTTAATATTAAATTTCTTATTTAAAGTTGCCGCTTGCCTTCATTGAAAAACAGCTGTTTATATTTACGATACTTTCAAATTTTGCACAACATCTCGAAATCTCGATTAATCATCGTAAAATACACGAAATGTTCGGGGCGAATTTAAACATTTTTCAAAAATGTGTTTTTTCTTAGGCACAGGGCGCATTTCACACATTTTGCAGAAATGTGACATTTTCAGAAATATGTTCAGTAGACAGAGGCTATAAGATTAAACAAAAACATGCTATACATAGCGCTCCAATGCGAATAGTGAACAGATTAATTCACTTTGTTGTCAAATTTAATTAGCATTTTGCTTCTCTTTGACCAATTCCATGAATAAAATGTTTCAGTTTGTTATGGAATCCATATGTTTGTAGAAATAATATAAAGGGATACAAATTCAGCGTAGTTCTACTGGATAATAAAAGAGAAATTTCTAACTCCCATGAATCTGTATCCAAAATAAAAAGGGATTATTGGATGTAAGTGCCAATGTTTCGACAGGTTATCGAGCTATTTCTAAGGCAGCACATCGAAAACGTCAAAAACAAAAATAAAACAAGAGTTTCGAGATGGGAGTTCCCGACTAGGGGATAGCCTGAACCCCCTTCAATAAACATCAAATACAGGTCACGCAACGAGCTTATGTACTGTAGCAGTAATAGATATACATTTCGATTTGAACCTTTTTCAATATTTTTGTTTTCTTTAATAACATCTGTGCCTACGCAGTACGAGTTTGTTTCCAATATTCGCTAACTTTTCCCGTTTCCAGGTAATCGATAAAAATAATCGATACCAAAATCCTGATTTTGAGTTGTCATGAATTTATACAAAGTATCTTTCATTTTATAGCTTTCGCCATCTCCCCACTACCACCACATAACTACAAATCAAATAAATAAACCAATTTGAACTACCCACAAACTTTAACCACAATTTGAATGCAATTGTAATTTTAAGAATAAACAAATATTTTGTAGTAATATAAGATGTACTGTTGAAAATATTATCAAGATTGGTTAAATTCACAAAAGTTATTAAAAAAAAGTACTTTGGCTGGCCACATATACGTACACAGACACATTCATGCGATTGTCAAGTAATTATTTTTATTGTCTGCTAAAGCAAACGAGCTCGTGTTGTGCGAACTGCTTTAGGTGTTGTAGAGGAGGGTTCAGGGTGTCCCCTACTCGTGAAATCCTGACTCTTACTCCTCTTGTTTAATGTAATGGACACCTAATTCCCTTGCTGAGCAACTCATCGTAAAGGCACCAACATCAATCAAATTTTCTGCTAAATCTGCTAAAATAATGCCACTGTTCCTTTAAAAAAAATGTTACAAGAATAGATCCTTAAATTCTCTTAAAAAAAAAACCAGGTGGATATGACGGACTTTTATTAAAAAAAAACTGAAACACCTATAGACGAAATATTGCATACTCAAGCACGACAAACTCAGATATTTTCCTACCGCTTAAGCAATTGGATATATTGTTTAAAATTGCATTCTTAACATAACTGGCAATTCCCTTCTTAGGTCGCAGCGTATTAGGTATTACCTCGCGATCAAGATGGACAACAATAAACCCTGGAATATCAATATTTTCATTTGAGTATGTTGAGGCTTCAACGAAACATTGAACAGACGACTGAAGCATACGCCTGTCTGATCGAATATCTGTAATATGACAGCAGTAAATGACTTCCTAGGTGGATATTTCCGTACCCTAAATAAACTTATGACAAAACTGAAGTAAGCATAGGGAACTAATAAAAGCGGTATATCTACATTGGCTCGCTGCAGTAGAAGGTGAGTATTATAAACGTTACGCTTAATTGCAGCGAATGAATGATGCTTTAATGCTAAATGCTGCTTTTAATATATTTTGGGCTTCTTAGTGCAAGGCCGTAGTTCAATTATATAGCATTCATACTTTATTAAAATTTCTAAGGTTATCTCCAGGATCAAACGGATATTCTAATATGCCCTAAATGTTTTCAAAATTGCTTCTTTATTGTCAGCATCGTATTCTATTGGGAATAGATTTTCTGTTTGGGGCATGGGAGGGTATGGAATACCAAATTTTCATATTTTTTGTGAACTAAATTCTCTCTAAGTGAGTGCGCGCGGTTGTGAGTTTGATACTCAAAAAATAACCATTCCGGGTTAATTTTGCAGTTATAATAAACTGAATCAATAATAGATTACACAGACGACCGTCTGCGCATCTTTCAGACAAAACATGCCATGAATGTGCGGGGAGCCTCTTTGCTGAAACTCAAATCGCCAACAATACTTAATAACCTTGTGACTGCCAAAATCACCGCCTGCCTGTTAC